GTGCGACCGCCTGAAGATCTGCGCACCTCGCCGTTGGAAACGTCGTCCAACGGTGTTGACCCTTGGGGTCTCGTCTCCCCGCGGGATCTGGCGAGGAACCGATGGCGTGAGAGCTCTGGATGCAGCGATGCTGACCCTGGTCCGCCCTCCCGTTTCACGGGAGCCTGAACCCCCACCTAGCCGCTCGTGGACTGAGGGCCGGTGGTCACTGGATCCCGTCGTATCATCATACGACTGCATGCGGCGTATGGGAGAGAGGGGTGTTTGCTGGGTGCTTGCAGAGTACACCTGATCTCGGGCCTCCCGCTCGTCTGCCATGCGACGCATGGTGTCTGCGAGTTCCCGCATGAGGCGGGGATCCTGCCTGGCCTCCAGGGGAATGAGGTCAGTGATACCCCCGTTTCCTCCAGAGGTCCATATTGTTGCGGATAGTTCCGAGTTCTGGCCGCGATTCCGGCGGCTCGACTCCAGACGCTCGGAGAGATCACGCTGGTTGTTGCTTCCTGACATCGTGTTTGCTGTAGGTAGACTTAGTAGCTGTTTGGGAGAGTTTCTGGAAACTTTTTGCTCAGTTTCCCACAGACGGCGCCAGTGTTGAGGTTTATTCCTTCAACCCTTGGACCCAACACGTAAGCCCAAAGATTTCGAGTGGAGTAAGTATAAGGATATCTAGCCCAACAACTATGAGATGGATCAGGAACCAAAAGTAATAGCAGGCAATGTAAATAGGTATTATTAATCTTCGTAATAACTCCCCTAAGTACAATCTACTTGCTAAAAAGGGCACGTCGGCCGTTCGTCTTACAAGGCAGTAGGAATGCTCCGAGTAAGAATACAATAGCTAGATGCTAAGAATAGAAAGTTGCCAACCCTTTACAATGAAATAAATGCTTCTATTTATACCCACCAATGGGCAGGTGGCTGTACTGACGTGGCAGCCTGTGGACCGCTGGTGTCCAACTACCAAATCTCCAGCATTAAATGCACTTCCCGCCAGAATCTTGGTTTCCCGCCCAATCGGTGGGGACGTTCGTCCGCCCGGGAAATGAGTTGGATCGCCCCAAGGGACCCTCAGGAGATACCGGCTGTTCGTCTCCTGGCCTTGCGGGTATTCACCATGTGGACTGGGCTTCCTCCGAAGACTATAGGCTTGCCATGGGGACGTTCGTCGTCATCCCCGGTGGCCCGTGGCCCTGCTCCTCGTCCCTGCGTTGACGCTCGTCGGGAGGGGCCGCTGGGCCTGAACTCCCAACCCCAGACGTTCGCCCATCCCCAAGGAACATGGGCCTGTGGGTTGGCCTAGTGTTTCCAACTGGACGTTCGTCCGGCAAAGTGGGTTAGTGGGCCGGACCTCGGCTTGGGCCCTTAACCCAACAGGTAGTAAAGGGTCAAGCATTGGTGGTTATTCACCAAATAATTTAATTTCTTCTTAGTTTAATTACTCTTATCAATAATAGTTAAGTTATTGGGAAAATTTCAGAAACAAGCTAAAAAGCATAAGACATATCACTTTTATCACCTCCCGAAGTTTTTATCAAAAATAGACTACTTACCATTTTTCTTTCATAAATAGACTATGTTCGTTCTGCTCCTTCAAAGCGGTTGAGTTCCGTGTACTCATGTAGCAGTTCCGCTCTTCCGCATGTGCGTCTTTAATATTGGTGGTTTAGTTCATGAACTAATAAAACTTCGTACATAATATGGAGTACATGTTCTAGGAATTATTTTTTATTTTATTTTTTTAAATAAAATAAAAATGCGAATTCTTATTAAACATCAAATAATGTAAATTCAAATAAAAACATCAACTTTAAAACATTCCAAAAATTACATTAATGTTTAAAGTAAAGTAAAAATAGAACATATAATGCATAAATATTTAAAATAAGAACATCAATGTAAAGTACAAAGCGGGTGAAATATCCAAATTCTAATAAACCTAAAAGTTACAGACAAAATAAGTAAAATAACATAAAATGTTCTGAAACTATTAATAAGAAATATGCAAAAATTTAATTTATTTTATTAAAAGAGTATTTTTTTGAAAAGCCAAAATATATAAACACTGAAAAATTTAGGGAATTTTGATATATATATACATATATATATATATATATATATATATATATATATATATATATATGAAAATATTCAAAAAAACAAATCATTTTGTTTGGAAAATTCAAAAAACCAAAAAACAAAAATAATTTTAAATATAAATAATTCATAGAAAATAAACTAAAAACCAAAAATAATTTTAAATATACAAAAACCAAATAAAACAAATCATAGAAAATCTTATAAACTAAAAACCAAAAATAATTTTAAATATAAAAAAAGTGTAAAAAAAAAAAGAAATCATAAATAAAAATGTGAAAATGAAAACAAAATGTAAGAAAAATATACATGAAAAATTTCAAAAGGTAAAAAATGCGATTTTCGTAACTCAATACTTTTAAAATGGTTACAGAATCTAATAATTATCATGATAATTGTTTTAGCTAACTTTTGTTTCCCATTGTTTCTTTGTGTTTATTTTTGTTTATAACTTTGAAATTTTGGTTTCTTATTGTTTCTTCGGGTTTCTTGCTATAGTTGGTACTCATAAATCCAAATTTTTTACTTTAGATTATTGTATATAAGTCTATAGTCTATACATTACTTTGGTACGGTAAGTAAAAATATAAATAAATGATAAAAATTAAAATCGATTATAAATAACATTAAGTAACATGTTACAACAAAAAACAACACGTTGCAACAAAAAACAACACGCTGCAACAAAAAGCAACACATATCGTACATTTACAACAAAATGAAACAAAAAACCTATATATAGTTGTATCACAATAGATATGTAAATGCATCTATTGCTTCAACTCAGTACATTTACAACATTATTTTGACTTTGTTTCTTATCGTTTCTTCTTTTTATGCATCTTAAGACACAATTCTTCATAATTTACTATCTTGTCTTGATTTTCTTCTTCAGTCTTATTAGCATCTCCATGCAGTTTTTTTGCGCCTGCAATAAGAACACAATCACCATAATCCAATTAAGACAACATAATAAGTATATAAAAAAGAACTCATGGACCAAAATAAATCCACAAGAATATGAAAACAAAATCCAAGTGATCAAGCTTTTCATAGATATATAATTAAAGAAAGACTGTAATCTAAACAGAGAACAGAGTATCTATCATGAGGAGAGGTGACTCTTAAAGGCATTCCATTTATCAAGGCGTATAGATTAAACTCCACAAATATCCCCTCTAAAATGGTTAATACAAATGGATCATTAGAAACAAACAAGTACTTAGAGATGACCTGATATAACATGAGTGGGGTCGGATGGCTAAATTCCCCAGACACAACATTGCACCACTGGTTCCCATTGCAGGAGTAACCAATTTCATGCCGATAGCAAGCTCGTCTATAGGCGGCAGCCTTGCACCAGTGCTATGGGCATCAGCCGCACCAACCTATTGCACAAAACATTTACTGAAGTTTCTAAATCACTTCAATGAAATATGTGTTTACAAGTCATGTAACTAGTACCTTCCTCTTAGAGTGGCAGAATGAACATATTTGGTTCAAATCCATCAATATTAACATGATTAACTAAACAGGAAGCATTATAACAACTCACTTGAACCAATTCCTAAAAATTACAACATTTTCTGACATGAAAAAGATATGATCAGAAGCTATCAGATTATCAAGTAACAACCAGATTGACATTGCCCACGACCATGACCACATAATGTAACAAGCAAAGATGTCATATTACTTAATCATTCTAGCATTAACAACCTACTATGTTATTGATAAAATAGAGAAAGTACATCATTCAAATTGAAATATCAGAATAAACGAATCAAATGGTGTATATGCAGTAAAAACAATTCAATATATTTTTAAGTTATGCATAAATATCTTCCATTAACATTAGTTATAAATTAAGAGTAAACGAATGAATAACATACAGAGTATTTAGGTTCATTCTATCTAAGCACAGAAAAAGACAAGATATCAATCTAGATGGAAAATCAATTTAGAAGATAAATTCAGGAAAAAAAATCAAACAATCTAAAGTAATGTAAGTAAGATCACGTAGTCGCTCCATTCCACCGATGAGTTTCTCCAGGCAACTTGTGACATCACAATGGTGCACCAAGCATATACTCACATAGTCGATCCATTCCGAAACATGACCTAAACATAAACGAGATCTGGAAAATGAAAGAATAATACTATATAAAGATCTCACTACTATAGGTTTACCTTGAGGACATGATCTAGATAATGAAGCTCACAATATGAGTTTCCGGCTCAAATTAATTTTGACCTGAGCGCTGTGAATCGAAATCCAGGCATGATTGCGACTGTAAATCTCCCAAACGTGGTTGCCGGCTTGGATTACGGCCTCATCCCGGCCATGGAGTCCTCTTCCCAGAGATGAGAGTTGGAACTCATCGTCCATTTTCCAGTCCTTCCAACAGATGTCCCAAATTGTCTCTGTCGTGATACGTGATGCAGCCGAGCCATTGCTCTTCAATCGTAGAGTAGCGAGACTTAACAGAGAGTCGATTTAGCTAGAGTAAAGAGGGGAAGAATGATATATATACGCTAAAAGAGAGTCGATGAGCTAGAATGTCCATATAAAAGAAGCGGCGGAAACAACTCACTAAAACTGAAATAAAAAAACAAAATTGAAAATAGAAAAATTTAAAAGTGAAAAGGAAAAACAGTTTGGACATTAGTGATATACGGGCCACAAAAGTGGTCCAAATGGGTAATTTCCACAAAGTTATTTTCTTTCAAAAGAGGTCAAAGGAATGAGAATGAAGCCATAGAGTGAGGCGATTTCGAGTATGGTGGCTCAAAGACAAATATTGTCACCTCCAAGGCGGATCATTGTGAGGGCACGGGTGGGGTTCAGCCCAGCCCAAACATTTGCTTTTAATTAGTACAGGTACAGGTCCAGCTCATCCCAAAATTAATCCCAAACCAGCCCAAGCCTGCGACCTTCTTGTGCGAACTGGCGGAAGTTTGGAAGCAGCAGAACTGCGAAGCACGGACGTCGAAGAGGAAGTAGCGGAGCTGCGACGGAGACACGAACCCCAGCCGACCTGAGGCCACCAGATGCGCCGCCTCCCGCCGTTCACGCTCCAGTTCCCTGAGTCATCCATCTTCCCTCTCCGGCTCTCCGAGTGACCGAGTCCGACTCTCCCCTCTGCGGCTGCCTCCAGCTCCAGGTAAACTCTAAATTCTAATACTCTTTGAGACCTTTTTTTCTTGATTAAACATTTTATAATTTGTTAAAAATTGTATTATTATGTGAAACATTGTAAATCTATTTGAATATTTGATTAACATAGAGGGCCTGTAGCGACTGTGTTATTGTGTTTTATTTGTTAAACATTGTATTTTTTTGTGACTTTGTGTAATTGTGTATTATTTTTTTCAGTTTTGTAAATCTGTTTGATCATTAATTGAATTTTTCAGTACATAATAAAATAGCGTTAATTATTATAAATTTATAATGATTCAAGATAAAATTAAAGATTAGAGAGTGATTTATTTTTTATACATTTTTTTAAAAATTCGAAGATTAGAGAATCATTTATTTATTGTGTGGACATGTAAGAAGGAATGACAGATTTGAATTGAATTTTGAACTTAAAAATACTTGTTAGTTTTATATACAACCGTCTTTTTTTCTTATTAGTTTTATAATTTTATAGAATTATTTTAATTCATACTAATGTTAAATGTAGAAGTTTCGTTCATAGATTCATGTTCAAATTATTAAATATATACTCAAATCTTTAATAATCATTAATAAGTTCTTTTATTTGCACTAAAACGTTTAAATTTTGAGATATATACTTCCTCCGTTTTCTTTAAATTGCAACAGTCTACTATTCACATTTGCCATTAACATCTTTCATTTCTTGTTAGTTAAAAATTAAAAATATCAGACTTTGAAAAATTTAAAACGAGAGGAATTTAACAAATAATTTCAAAAAATTAATTTATAATACATTAATAAATAAAATGTAGTCAAAGTAGAGTATGCGAACAGTGCAAAATTCACCAATGTTACAACTAAAACAGAACCGAGGTAATACAATTTATTTCTATAATTTTTTAGTGAACAATATGCTCGAGTCAGGATCGAACCAAACATCACTATGTCCTAATTCGATTTGATTAATTATTCAAACTCAAAACATAGTCCGTGTTCAAGTTTGAAGCTCATTAAGCTCGGGTCATTAAATTAGATTAGAAATCAAGCTCAAACTCTAGTATATAGTTTGAAAAAAGCTTGATTTGGTAACAACCCTAAGCTAAACCTTGTATGTATATTGGATGTTGTTGTTGTTCGTAATGTTAATTAACATGGGTGCTTCTGGTAATCTCTGATATTATTAGTTTTTAGTTTAATGCTATGTCTTAGATTATGGGGAGGTGCTAAAACAAGGACATTATGGTTTCAATTTAAAAAAAGGTGGTAGTCAAACTAGCTCACCATGAGTTTGTTGGATCAGTAGAGAAGAATTATAATGTGTGTTCTTGTAATACTTTTAACATAATTTATTCTCTTTCAACCCCATCATAATTTTGTCCACCACTTAATTGATATGCTAGATCTGCCATAGCAAGAATTAGGATGAAGGTGAAGGTGGTTTGCCGGAAACTGTATGATTATGTACGCTATGACCTGAAGGAAATTGCATTCCCTTCATCTTTACCTGACCCACCTCATATGAAAAAGCGCCGTAAAATAACATGGAAGGAGCGTTTCCTTGTGAGTTTTTCTCTGATGCAATACTTCTCCCAAAGAAATTTATTTCTCTTGCTTAAATTGTATGGACTACGGAGTATATATTATTGCCTTAAAATTGTCAACTTGCATTATTGCATCCATTGTTCTTGACATTTTATCACTTAGCAGAGATGATAGTCACTCTATTTGATCATTCTTCAATTTGTGTTTTGTTCACTAAGACGCTAAATTTGGATTTGAAAATAATTGTTCAGATATTGAAGGAAGCGTCTAGACTTTATGCTGCAAGCTGGGTAAGAGACATTGGCCCTGAACTTCGACCTAATGACTACAAAAAGAAACAATCCAGTGAAGACATGCTTCACGAAGAGAATGGTACAATTAAAGAGAAGGAACCCTCAACACTGGAGGACCTAGGTAAACCTTCTCAACAACCTGGCCCATACACACACATATAACTTAATTAGGCCCCGTTTTGTAGCAATTTCTGGCTTATTCTGCTCAGCATTTTATATGGGTACAAATGAACTTGTTTTAATGTTCCATTGTTTTGTGTTTTTTTTAACCATTAGCTGTTGCTGCAAGGGGTGGAATGGAAACTCTTAGGCCTGCATTGCAGCGGGTTTACATGACTAGAGCGACAGCATACAAAGATGCTCTTAAAAGCTTCATTGAAGGATATCAAGAAGGTATTCAGCATGTTGTGGATAAGAAAGAAGAGACTAAAGTTCAAGAAGAAAAGGATGCACATAAATGAACAAGGTGGCTTGCTAAGTTAAACATGTGACTTGCTTCTAAATAGCTGATATTTTTGTATAAACCACTATTTTTGGCTGTTCTTTACATCTACATGTCTGGCAGTTGTCTCTGTGTTTTTAATGGAAAGTTTTAGAACTTCTTGAGGTGAGTATTTCATTAATTTCTGGGTCAATATACTGCACCCTTTTCCCTTTATCATGTTTTTCTTCTAAAGTTATTGTAAATATGCTATGTGTTTTGTTTAGTTAGGCAATAGGTACACACCAAAATCTTCTTGACTGAATTCTAAACTCCTACTGTTGTCATGCCATTGAGTCTCCCACTGGACATTGCCTCAACTGTCACAAGTCTGAGCAGTTCCAGAGTGAGCCTCGCTCTCAATAGTGCTCCCCTTTGAAGTTTTCTGTTTGAGAAACTGAAAGAGTGATGTCAAAATTTTTAAATTGACAAGAAAAATATATCAAAGACCTTTGTCAAGGACATAAAAATAAATGTAAGTAGACAATAGACATAAAAAAGATATAATCCGTACCATTTTAAAGATTGAAAAGAAGGTTGACATATTGCTTCAAAAAGTTGGTAGTTCAACCTTCAGAAAGGGGGTTTATGACAAATGAATATGATTAAAAGTGATCCTTTGAATCAATTTTATGAAAAATCAACTTCCCAAATAAATTCAAAAAGCTCACTTAACAAGTGCAATAATCAGGGTCTGAAGTTATCTATTTAAGCCACTAAGACTTGTTCTCTTTATTTTAATTAAACCACAAGGTCATATGGTAATGAGTTTACTGTTAGCACTTGAAAACAAATACTCATATAACTTGGACAATTTGATATTGTTTTCTGGCAAAGACTTCATTTAAATCTTGAACAACTAAGAATGCTGATATATGGACTTCAAAGTTCTCATAGATATGCAGAGCATACCAAGAGCTATAATAGCGGATGACGACCATATACGGCGGCCGGAAATCCAGAATAAGACTCCTCATTTTAGGCAAGAAACATAAAGCATATATAGAATGGAGTATTTCGATTGTGATGGCATTTCATTGAATGGATAATAGATTACTAGGAGAATGGTTTGCAGCGACATATGAAGTTATCTCAATATTTCTCTGTTTGCATGAAAACACGAAAACCATGAGGAAACAGAAATTGAAACATCAATTTTTGCTCAAAAAATGCTTGTTTGGAGAGTTTCCAAAAAATTATCCGTAGAGTTTCTGAAACGGAAACCGAGAGTTTTCTGTGCTAAACAGAAGGAAATGAGTCACTAGTTTGATTTATAACATTAAACGTTCAACTCGGTTTTGTAAATAAAAGCCCGATCTTCATCATCGTATTGTATTTTCATCTACTTTTTTGTATAATAGTCGTACTACATAATATATAATCTGATAAACTTATAAGATTTTTGAAATTTCCAAAAATTATTTGGTGCCTCTCGTGATATGTTGTCGTTAATATTATTATCAAAATATTCAAAGGCTAATATAGAACAAAAATATATGAAAAGAATGTAGTCTTAAAATTTGAACAATACATAAAATGTAATAAAATGACTACAATATTCAAGATATATATGACCATATTGGTCTAAGATTTCATAGGAATAGAAGTCCACAAATTCCAACCAATAGAACGATTGTTAGACATATTATTCCAGCCTACTACTGTTTAGAGGTCCAAGACAGTGCCCTGATACGGAGCCCGATCAGTTAAGCCCATTTCGGGCCCCTCGGCTCATTCTGACCCTTCGAGCTCGTTTTACGCCCATTAAATCAATCATGTACTCTCTCCCCTGTTTTCTATTTATAGGAGGATTTCCCTCCATTAATTAGAGCTAAATACTTGTACTATGTAATGGTGAGGAGAGCCTAATGAGAATGAGAGAGACTTGAGCATTAACTCTAAAAAACCTGTTGTTTTTCCCTTTCGGGTTTCCACGTTAAAATAGTTTGTTCATATATATTTATATACACTTGGGCTACTGAGTCACCTGTTTGGTTAATTTCCTTTCCTAATTATTCTACATCGAGAAGCACTTTTTATTTATATTGGAATGTTGGACCTTTGGATCTGAACGAATTAACCTCAACGTCATGTATCGATATTTATTCTTATGTCTTTCACTAATGTTTGTAATCTCCTATTCTTCTCAACTAAAAGCCTTGATGTCATTGTTTCAGATGTTCAAACAAAAAACTTCAAAGGAGATAGTACCTATTATTCCACAATGAGTATGCTTTCTACTTGAAAAATGATATATGTACATCAATTTTATTACAACTTATTTCACCCGGCATTGTCAACATATTATTCATATATTTTGACGTAGTTCACACACACGTGCACACATCAACACCAATGGCTAAATGAGCCGATAGCTTTTATAATTAGGCATTTGAATTTAAAAAGTTGTTGCTGGATTACAATAGAGTGGTTTGACGGGTGAAATCTTTTCAACATTGTCGGGTTTGCATCTTACATCTTCCTGTAACAAATATTTGTATCTCTTTGTGCTCTTCGTTGTTTTCCTTGTTGCTATTCAAGTTTTTTGCCGCTTCCGCTCTGCTTCCCTTGTATTTCTGTTTAATTATTGTGTGCAATGGCTGGTTGTGATGACCCATTGAAGTCAATTGGTGTTTGTATTGATGACTTGATGGGAAGAATTTTGGGTATTGGAGTTATCTTATGATCAATTTTTAGAAGGGTAAGGGGGTATGAGATTATGTTTGTGTGAAAAGTGCATGCCCAAAGTTAGGAGATGAAAAACTCGATGAATTGTTTTGTATTTGGGAGACTAATAATATCAAAATTATATCAATCTAAAGAGCATATGTCAAAAGAGAGGGTGGTTCTAAATAAGGATGAAGAGGTACATAACTCACGCCATATGCATCATTAACCAGACATCCTTCATACTCAAGTGGTTGAATGGATTTGGTGTCCAGGTGGAAAAGAAACTCATCCGCTTCTTCTACCCTTAGAATAAGGTCAAAAGGAGCACTCTTCTTCTTACTATTATCATTATTAACCGGAACAAAGGCGTCTAAGAAACTCATCCTCTTCCAAGCCTTTTCCTACTTCAATGGAATTAAGAGATCGTCGTTCTAGAGAGAATCCACACTAATATCGTATATCAACACCCAATCTTCGGTGCCCTTCAGGAGAATGAAAACTGTCACTGTTTGGGTGTCCATGCGGCCGAACCAAAACACATCACTGTCTTCAATGTGGGTTCTTGTAATAGTCGTAAGGGTGCTAAGATTCCAATAACCATCATTATCGCCCGTGATGTCCATGATCTCGAGATGCTCTTCAGGGGGACGATAAAGTATTAGTTTTTCCGTCTAAACTGAACTGTACAAGTGGAAAACGTCATTCATCACAAAAGGACCGGGAAGCACCACATCATCAAGAGAGAGGTATGTAGTATCGGCGGTGATCAACCTAGGTTCGGCGGCCCAGACGCCCGTTTGGGAAGAGTAAGTTTGGATCTTCAAAGCGTCATCGTCAGGAGAAAACACAGTTCGAATGACAATATACTTGGTGGCTAGTTCAGCTTTATTCTCTTCGCAAATCAGCCTCACAGATGATTCCATTATTGTGTATTCATCTTTTCCCGGCCGCAAGCGGTGGTGGCGGTGGCAACGTTACTAACCTCCCTGTAATGAGGTTAACAATGTAGTACTTGCGGTGGTTAAGAGCGCCTCTGCAGAGGATGAGCCCGTTGGAGGAATTGATGAATTCACCTAGTTTTGGAGTCTGGTTCTTGATTCTGCTACTTCCATCCAGAGGCAGAATGTTCAGAAATTTCGGCCACACTTTTGTATTCTGGAACAACGCCAGCAAACCCGACCACCTTCACGCTACCGCTTGTTGTCGTATTTCTCAATGAAAAGGGGACTAGAAATGATATGCTCCCATGTTTTGAATACGAATCTGAATCTGTAAACTGCTTTGCGAGGCAAACACACTAAAATTTTGGTGAGTACTAGATCATTTATCGCGGGGCGGGGCTCTCATAGCGCTCATCTGGCAGGGCCTGCCCCGCCATGAATGAGCTAGTACTCACCGAAATTTTAGTGTGTCTGCCTCGCAAAGCAGTTTACAGATAAAGGCTCGTATCCAAAACGTGGAACCATATGATTTCTGATCCCTCTTTTGTTGTGAGATACGACAACAAGAGGCGGTGTGAAGGTGGTCGGGGTTTGCTAGCATTGTTCCTGAATACATAAGTGTGGCCGAAATCTCTGAACTTACTGCCTCTTGATGGAAATAGCAAAATCAAAACAAGTGTCCAAAACTAGGCGAATTCATCAATTCCTCCAACAGTCTCATCCTCTGCAGAGGAGCTTATAACCACCGCGAGTACCACGTTGTCAACCTCGTTACAGGGCGGTTTGTAACGCTGCCACCACCACCACCACCACCAAAGATGAATACACATTAATGGAATCATCCGCGGGGTTGATGTGTGAAGAGAATAAAGTTGAACTGGCCTCCAAGTATATCGTCATTCGAAATGTGTTTTCTCACGACGATGACGCTTTTAAGATCCAAACTTACTCTTCCCAAATGGGCGGCTGGGGCGCCGATCCCAGGTTGATCAACGCTTACACTGCATTCCTCTCTCTTGATTATGTGGTGCTCCCCGGTCCTTTTGTGATGAACGACATTTTCCAATCGTACAGTACAGTTTACAGGGAAAAGCTAGTACTTTATCGTACCCCCAAAGAGCACCTCGAGATCATCGATATCCCGGGCGGTAATGATGGTAACTAGAATCTTAAAACATGTACGGCTAATACAAATGACCTCCATCGAAGACAGTGATGAGTTATTGTTCGGCCGCATGGACACCCAAACGCTGACCGTTTTCATGCTCCCGAGGGGCACCGAAGATTAGGTCTTGATGTCATATTATTAATTTCCATTTTTCCTAATTTAATCCTCTAATAATTCGAGATCCTGGGTCTGTAAAAAATTTTCCTCAAAAATTGGGAGACGGAAATAAATGATGATCAGTTTCTAGTACAGAAGGCTAAATCTGTAAATTTGTAATCAGCATATAAATCAAGACAATTTGCCTCGCTGCTTAGGATCAAACCCCGGTCAGGCAACTCGGCAAAGATCTTCTCTTTTTCGGTCAAATTTGGGAGCTCACGTACCGGCGGTATTGACCTGCGGAGTATTCCGGTGACGGTTGTGGAAAAAGCCTCAAGTAAATCGATTTCATAAGACAGAGCAAAAGAA